ATACATTTGTAATTTTATATAAATAAATTAGGACATAAATACAAGTGATTCTAATGAGGAACTACATGACTGAGATATTTGCATACACACGTATCATTGTATATGCATAGACTATCTATGCAAACATACACAAGAAACAGTGATACCTCTGGGGAGGGAAAGTGGATATAGCAGGAAGATAAAAGGTAAGAAAGATACTTTTCTTTCCCTATATGCTCCTTTGTTCCTTTTAATCTTGTGCCATGTGCATGTATTACCCTTTCAAAAATATTTAATTAAAAACCTGTCTATTGCACATGCAAATAATGGTGGCTTTTCTCTTATGGATACTTGAAACTATTTTTCTAATTGTAGTCTTCCTTGTTACCAATAATATGTTGCTTGCTGGATATAACCTATGACCATGGAATAGTGTTCAACTGTGTGGAATAAGTGGCCTTGTAAAAACTGAATCCAGGATATTTACTCCCATAAAGGTATTATCCAAATAATTTGAATTCTCTTAAATAAAAAGCAGCTTCTCTCTAAAATGTATCCTCACATTTTATCCCCAAACTATACAGTTGCTTAATCACAGAGATTCAATCTATAAATAACAGCTACTTCTGAAGAAGAAAATTGAGCAAAAAAGACAAACACAATCATTAGAAGTATAAAAAAAGATGGCTTTCCAAATCTGGAAAGTAGTAACAGTTAACAATTATTAACCTCTGACTGTGTGCTAGGCACAGTGCACAACATTTTATTCACATTACTTCCTATAATCCTCAAACAATCCTGTGAAGAAGATACATTAGGTCTAAAGAAGATCTCATATAATTTAACATAAAAGGAAGTTTTAAAGACATTATTCTTTAACCAACTGTAAGAAACCAAAACTGAATACTTCAGAATATATGTACAAATAAGAGCGCCCAAATATTTGGAAATCATCTAAGTTATGAATGGATTTAAAAGAAACTTAAAATACAAAAACAGGTTATTTAGAAAATTATGAACATGTAAACACTGGATATCAAACACCATGTCATAAATTCATAG